GGGAAGCGGGCGGCTGAGCTCCGGCTTGTCGGCGGCGGGATCGAGCGGCGGCGTGGAGGAGTTGATGACGGCGACTGACGGCGGCAGCTTATCTGAGAGCTCTGTTTGGGAGAAGAAGAGAGGGTGGAGGAACATGGAGGAGGCCATTGTAGAGATGCAGGTTAAAGGAAGTCTGATTCATCGCATTGCCATCATTGAGTCTCGCCTCCTTCAGGTAAATCTATTATTAACACTTATATGTAGGACTCTTGTTGGTTGGCATCCACGGTATAAGATCTCTCGGGTCAGGAGATCCCTTCTAACACAGTTGGGCTTAGGGAGGTGGTACTCGAATTATTAGACGCATTATGAGTGGTTGGTGGCTCGTATAATAACCTCTGGTCATTCCTTTAATAAAAAAAGAAGAAAAAAATGTAGGGTCATTATCGATTTGATTTCGAGCCGAGTTGTATTTTGGCTCCGAGCTTAGCTTGTTTATTTTGATTGGAACTCGATCCAAACTAAAATTTGAATCATTTTTTGAGTGATAAACAATATTTGATCTGATATCGGTAAAATTGCAGCCCTGGCAACACTCAGTGTTGTCAAGGATCTAACTTTGAGCCGGGCTTCGATCAGCTCCAAATCGGCTTGAAAAAAATTCTATTCAAAATTTTAGCTCGTAGCTCGGCTTGTTTATTTAGATTCGAGCCAACATTCGAATTAATTTTCGAACGATTAACGATTTTGAACTAAATTCATGGATCTACTTGAAGGCAATTAGAACAGGCCACTGAAAATTTGCTATTTGCAAATGTATCACCATCTTTCATCCATTTTTTAACATTTTCATTTTTTTTTTTGGTTTTTGGATTCTGTGTTCCTGAAATTGTGCTGCAGCTGGAGGAAAACATGAAGCTGGAGAGGAAGAGGGAGATGCAGAATATGAATGGCCCAACTAAAAGCAGGGAGAAGAAAAAGCATGGGGGCTTCAAAAGCATACTCAAGTTTTGGCTTAAAAGGAAATCTCTCAAGACCAAAGACTGATTCCAAATAACTCTTCACTAGAGGAGAGAGAGAGTGTGTGTGCCGTTTTATTCCCATAATTTATAAAAATGTCAAAATAACCCTCAAACTATTTAAATTGAGGTCGAAGTAATCTCCATGGAGAACTGTTAGAACTCAATTTTAAAATATTAATGTATTATTTTAGCACTATTATAAATTCTGGGATTAAAACGGCTCCACGAAAATAGTAGTAGAACTGTTTTGAAACTTTACTTTTTTTTAAGTGTGTGTGTATCAAAAATCATATTAAGGTTATTTGTTTTTCCAACATAACACGAAAAAATATTATATCAGGCATCATGATGCAAAAATGCATCAGGATTTCAATCACTGTCTGTCACGTGTACAGTCTAGCCATTGAGATTGATTTGGGCAACTGTTTTTATTAAACATACTTTAGATTATAAGCACAACATATCCTTTGTGCTTCTTTAACTAGATTTATTATAATATTGAAAATAGGAATTTACACACTTACAACGTAATTATTATATATTTACCCATTTAACACCTAAACTCTAATATTTTCTCTCATAACATCAAATATTTTACATCCCAACCAAAAACACTTCTATAGTTTATAAATATTAAATAAAATATTTCATGCATAAATTTTGATATGATTGACACTAAAATGTTATAAATATAAATTTCAAAATATATGTGTGGGAACCTCTAAATTTTCCCTAAAAAGATCACAATTCTTACCCACTTATATATCTAACACCTAATAATTCATACTTATATGCATATCACTCAAATTTTTAGATGGCGAGACCTATAATGCTCTATGATGCAAAATGTTTGCCTTTAAAAGAGAAACATAAAATTAAGTTCAGTCTTATTGAGATGCGAATGCTTAAGTGGATGAGTGGCACTGCACTTAAAAGTACAAATGCAAAATGAATACATCCGTGATATGGTTGGTGCAACTCCTGTGGCGGACAAAATTAGAGGGAGTTGTCTTAGATGATTTGGTCACAATAAACGTCTTATCACCTCATGATCTAGTTAAGAAAATAGATGTTTTAGATTCGACTCATGTTAAGAAAGAAAAGATAGACTTAAAAAAATGATCTTAATTTATTAGAATTAAATGAAAATATGACATTCAATAGGACGCAATAGAGAAAAAGAATTCATGTAGCCGACTCACTTGGTGGGATAAAGACTTCTTGTTGTAGTCGTTGTCATTGGATCACTCAAATTTTTAACATCTCGTCAAAATTACCACCACTTAAAAAGTGAAATATACATTCTATGCATGGCTTTCCCACACAAGGCATTATCAGTGTAAATATCAAACTTTGGGTGCTAGATATGCAAATAGATCAGAATTGTGAGGTATGCATGCAAACTTCTCTAGAAAATAACTAGCACTCTAAACTTCAAACACAAATACAGACATAGATTACAAAGATCAGATTCAGAGGAATGAAAGTTTCATCTCAAAACAACTTTACACATTCCCGAATAAACTTCTCAAAAAGAAGAAGATGGAATCATCACAACAGAGGGAAAATACTGAACATTCTTTCTCTTCAAAAGTCTTGTTTTTCAGCTGCACCCAACTTGGGCTTCACATCTTGTGCTCTGAGTAACCATGCATTGTTCCAGCACCTTTCTGACTCTATACTGCACCACAAAATAATCCATGAAAAAATTGAAAACAATTCATGAAAAAAAAATTTTTTTACATTTACATATCTAACAATTAAATCTTTCGTATAACATCAAAACTATTTTGGCTTCTAAAGAGTGGAACACACTTTTTCATGCATAGGCAAAGTGGCATATATATAAAAACATCGCATTTAGGAGCTAGATATGTAAATAGATAGTTATTGAGAGGTATGTATGTAAATCTTTCAGGGAAAGAAAGAAAAGGACCTTGCAATCCAACCAGGGGTCATTCACCATAGTCTTGATTTGGAATAATATGCCTTCCTCCTGGAGTTTTCTGACCCGAAGAGGCGAATTTACGCTATCCGGGTCGGTGAGGTTAAGTACGCACCACATCGCGGCTGTTCTGAGGAACTGATCCTTACTCTGCAGGAATCTGATCATTAGGGAGTTAGATCCTTCTGTTTTTGAAGGCATGAGATAACCGAGCACAGCGTCTTTATGGGATTCATCTCCAGCTGCAATGTTGCAGAGCAAAAGCATGCCCTGCTATTGATTTTTATAAACTCAGTAGTGAGAAGAAACTAAGTGTAGGAACTCTATTGTTATTGAGTCAAATGTTAAAATAGTCCCCTCACTGTTTACAAAAAGCCATTTTAGTTCTAGAGCCTATAAAAATGTCAAATTAATTCCCATAAGGGACTATTTCAGCCCCAACTTAAAAAAATTGGGAATTAATATGACATTTTTTCTCTTTCTATTGTCATGTGTTAACCTAAAAAAGGTAGAGCTTGATACAGTCAAGAGGGTCAACATCAATGCCGTAAAAATGGCTAGAGGAGGCATTAGAATATGCGACAAGTCATTTCCTTATAGATCTCAAATCAAGAGGACTAGCAAATCTAATCAAATACCAAACAACTCTAAGGGCTTGTTTGGGATTACTTTTATTTTTTATTTTTTTGTTCTTGCTTTTATTTAAAAAAAAAATACACGCTTAGCGCATTTTTTTTTGCGTATCTTTATTTTTAAAAATAAATCGACTTATTTTTAAAAACACTTGAGAAATCTAAAAATTTGAGTATTTGTAAAGTAACTAAACATATTGTAACATACCAATCATATTTTATTTCAAGTAAAAATATAAACAAAAAATAATAATAATTAAAAAAGAAAAAATCATAATCAAAATCAAAAAGTGATCCCAAACCGCCCCAAGTATATATTAGATCAAACTCCTGCTATAGTCCATTGGGTCAAAAATGAACTAAAATTCATTCATGAACGATAAAAATGACAAAATACATAAAATAAGACATGGAATTAAAATATATCCTTCTGATTTCATGCTGTTTCACAGGCTACTTCAAAAGATTCTGATCAACCAAATACTAGGAGGGGCATTATGTTAGGTGGCAAAATAGATCAACAGGCCTGCTAAATTGTCGCAGCTAAATCACAGCTGGAAATATTAAACCTCCAGCATAAATGAATTGAGCTTTACCAATTTTGACATTATAATTTTCTTATAATCAGTGTTTCCATAAAGTATTCCCCAAACTTCCCATCAATAGAAAATACACCCATAGCTCAAATCAAAGGAAGCTGTAAGGATACGAACCTGAATACAAACTTGGGTTGCTGAATCATTTTTCAACTGTCTGATAACCGCATTAATAATTAAACCATCTTCTGCAAATACAAGTCTGATAAAATCTACGCATCCATGGATAAGATTACTAACAAGCGCCATCGCCTGCTCCTGTACGAGATGCTCAGAATCTGTCAGCATTACGTGTTTTCGGTTATATATCTCAAGCGAATATTAAAAAAAAGGGAAATTTACATATGTAGCACACGATTCTTATGTAATTACATATCTCACACCTAAACTTTCATATTTACGCACATAGCCCTTTGGTGTGTTAAACCTATGCATGAAAACTTATATTTCCCTTATAAAATGAGGAAAGAGAGCTTTTTATGTCCGTAAACATGAAAGTTTAGGTGTGAAATATGTAAATACATATGAATTTTGTGCTATGTACATAAATTCTCCATAAAAAAGCTAAGAGTTCGATCTCGTATAGATGAGAAAATTACCACAAATCAGGGAAGCCAGTTCGGGTATGGTGAGCTCTGAAATGATGTTCTCTTTGCCAATTCGGTTCGCAATAAACATTAGATTCCTCAAAGCGCAAAGTGATTTTAACCTTAGCATAGGAACAATCGATTTGGATAGCTGAACAAGAAGTGGCAAACCGCCATATTTGACTAGAGCAGATTTTTGGGAGGTAAAATCAACTGCCAAATTGCAAATAGCACCAAGCGTGGCTTCCTATAAGAAATTGATGAGGAAAATAATAAAAAATAAGTTTTAGTTTTTAAACAGAGTATATGATAACAATCGTAGAACAGGCCTTTAAGGGTTAATTATATGAAGAAAAGCTGTATTATGTTTTACAAATACACAAATTATGAAATGGAAGTTCATGTGCCTTCATGAACTAAACAATGGAAAGTAAAAGTTTCTTTTGAAATAAAAGCATGACAATCATTGCGGCCACTCACCCGAACTGATCTAACTAATTCGTCAGGTTCAACAGCCAATTCAACTGTTTCAACAATAGCATCTATTCAGGTTAAAATCACAAAAAGAGATCCGAGTGTTGTAGGCAGGCAAAACAAAGAGCACGAGATATTTTAATAAAGCAAATAGATAGAATCCATGAGAAAAAAATTATATTAAAAAAGAAAACAAACTTCATGATGATGAGGTTAATGGTTGAGAAAGGTTATGGGATTTTAGTTTAATGTCTAAGGATGCTATTTGAAGTTTTTGGTGGAATAATTAGGAGTTTAAGAGGTATAGGAATAGGAATGCCAGTATTCGTCCAAATTAGGCTGGCGTGGACTGATTTTAAATATTATTTTAGAGCACGTGCTTATATGAGGTGAATGACTATAAATGCTTATGGAGGGTTAGCTTAGAATGTGTACTTGTGAGCCAAAGTAAATAGTTAAGTTTGATGGAGTTTAAGAGAATATCAAGATGTAGGGAATACAATCACAACCTATTATTCCCTAGTTTGGTCGATAGTTTTATGAAGGTATTTGGGGTGATTGTGAGGCCTTGGATGATAGATGGTTGATCTTAGAGGATTCTTCAGATACGAAAGAAGAAGGGATAAGATCAATTTTTTTTATGACGTTGGAGTGCCCCCCTGTCCCTGTCACAGGAGTCACACGAACAAAGAGAAGCTAGGATGAGGTACTTGGACCAAATTGGTACAAATTTTGTCACTGTTGAGGAGTCGGTTGGTCATCTTGAGCCACTTTTAGTTACCTTATTAATAGATATTTGCTTTTGTAGGAGTCTAGGGTTAATTTTTGGAGTGACTTTGTTTAGAACAACCGTCGACATTCGTTTTTTCCCTTAAAAGGTTGTATCCAAGGGTTTGGGTGGTGCTCCGACTGCATCTCTTTCTAGATATGGTGATTATCTTCCCTATCCCCTTCCCCATCCTCCCCACGTCACTCTCGGTCGCCGTATCTCGCTACAACCACCCGCAATAGCATCCCATTTTCAGTTTTCTGCAGTTCCAACCACCGCCATCGCCTTCCCCTCCCTTCTCTTCGTTGCCATCGCAGTTCCAGCCCTCCACCATCATTGCCCCCACTGTTCTCTCCCCCGCCTCGCTGTTTCGACTACTGTCCAACCATCCATATCGCTGCCGCCAACAGAAAAACAACACACCTGTTGTTTTCTTGATGTCGTGCGTCCCCTGCCCATTGCCACTCCCCAAAACCCACTCCATCTATTGTTATAATTCATCCCAACGCCCGCCCCAGGGACAGTTGTCCACTACTATTCCTACCTTTCTAGCCACTTCTTCCCTTCCCCCTTGCTTGCCAACCACCATCTACCACCTTCCAAACCCTCATCGACCCCCATCACCCCCCTTGGGATAAAATCCTAATTGCGCTTGTGTCGTATCTATTGCTATCTCAGATTTCCAGGTGTAATGTTGTATTTTTCCTTTCAAGTGTGTTAGTTGTAACTGTCTATTTACTTTCAGTAATAATATTTGCTTTTCCTATTGTGACTTGGGTTAACTTTAGTATCATTTGATATCAAAGCTAGTCTAACTCTAGTCCTATTCCTAGTATCCACCACTATCCAACCCTAACTCCACCCAAATATTTTCTTTTTCAACCTACATACAATTATTTTCACCTACCCACTCCTAAACCTTCATCACGCCACCAAAGAGATAATTGTGGAAGACCTAAATGGGAAAAAATGTCGAGATGCCGTTAATGAGAAATTCGTAAAAGGATTTCCAGAAAACTTCTATAGAAAATGTAAAGTGGGAAATCCTTTGACTGCAATAGAGGCATGTTGCCCTTAAGACGAAGCAATCCGGACGAGTCACCCATAGAGACAACAATGACTTGCTAGATTGAAGGAATAGAGTGAATTTATGGGTGTCAAAAATTGAGCCAACACGCCAACACGACTTGAAATTAACTTGAAAAATCCGGGTTAAGGTTGACCCGACTATTTTTCGAGTCGGGTCCAAGTCAAAAAATTTGACCTGTTTATTATTCGAGTTGAGTTTGGGTTGGACCCAAAAACCCAAGCATGACCCGAATAAGCATGAAAGTTTGGGTCAGGTTCGAGTTAGCGGGTCAAGCTTGTTTTAGGACAGGTTCAGGTCTTAGTTTTCAACTCGTTTATCATTCGAATCGGGTTCGTGTTGACCTTATTCAGGTCGGGTCATTTTCGGGGTGAAATTGAACCAGACCCGCTGACCTGAATTGACACCCCTAAGTGAATCTCTTCCACCATGCGAATTCCGGGAACAAACCTCTACCCCAAAAATTTTAGGTAAAGGAAACAGTTGAAAAAATAAATACTGATCAGGGAGCAATTGAAAAAATAAATAGTGATCCGAGAAAAGATGGAGATTTCAGAAAAGAATCTTACATGTCAGCTGACAAGGAAGAGACACCAGCGATTCTAACTGGCCCCAAGAGAGAAACTCTAGTTGAATTAACACTGGTTATTCTAGAAGGGGGTGAGTCAAATGTCATGGACGTTCATGCAAAGCATGAGATCGTAGTATCTCCAACAACTACTTTTTTGCAGGTATTGAGAAGAGCATTAGCAAAACTTGCATTGGATGTCAAAATGAGCCATGAGTTTTAAGAGTCGATATTAGACACAATGGGCAACATCAGATAAGATGATTTCAGAATTCCCAGATACATAACTTACCTAACGAGTTACCTTTACTGAAGAAGGTCCAACATATTAAAGATGACGAGCTTTTGAGCTACTTTGGAAATATTATATGAAATTATTCGAATACTAGATTCAACAGTTTCCCGCCAACAGATGGCTGATACACCTAAAATATATAGCATTTATGTACACATTTTTATACCTATTTTTTAGATATTGAGCTTTAATGGAAGGTATTTGTGTGTTTTTCTTTCAAATACAATCAAATAGATGTTCATGGAAGGTATTTGTGTGTTTTTCTTTCAAATACAATCAAATAGATGAAAAATGATGAAAAAAGTGAAAAATGATCAAATTTAAAGTAAAAATAAAGAAAGTGTGCAAGAGAACTGTGACGCCTAAGCGCCCAGAACTGACGCTTAAGCGCCAAAAAAATCGAAAAGGCCGCCCCTAAGTGCCACATACCTCGCGCTTAAGCGCCAGAGGTAGTTACTTGATGATTCAATGAATTTGGACGAATTTTTGAAGAGGTGTTTGAATCAACTCTTGGTGAAAATGTGGGATATGGTTACTGGACACGAAAATACAATTAATTATTTTTTTAAAGAAGGCAACTCTTGGAAGATTTATTGAATGTGGACACTAAATAAATCAATTATAAATGTGATGGCTCGAGGCTTTGGTTCGTAAAGATGCTCATCCACGTGGAGCTCCAGCTTAGGTTGTGCTTTGTAATGGAAACACCTGCATGATTGACTTACCGGGAAAGTATGACACTCCTCCATCTTCAACATGGTCGACTAGATGTTATACTACGACTGATCAGGTCGAAGCTCCCCCAACCTCGAGAGACTGAAGCGAGAACGCCCCTGCTTCCGACGCGAGAGTCACGTAAACATAAAGGGGCTTGGCTGTTGTACTTGGACCGAACTAGTTCAAGTTTTCTTCCTGTTGAGGAGTTAGTCAGTCATCTTTGGCCACTCTTAGTTATTCCATTAATATATATTAGCTTTCAAAGGAGTCTAGGTTTAGTTTATGGCTTGAGTTTGTTTAGAACAGTCACTAACATCCGTTTTCTTCCATCGAGCGAGGTGGCGACCATCTTTCCCATCTCCATCCTCATCATCCCCACGATGCTTCCAATCGCCGCATCTCATTGCAGCTGCCAACAACAACATTTTGATTGTTGTTTCAGCCACCACCATCGCCTTCCACTCCTCTTTGCTGCCATCACATTTCCAATCCTCCACCTTCACTGTCGCCACTATTCTCTCCCTCGCATCAGTATTTTGACCAATGTCCAATCATCCAAAAAAAGCACCCCCTACTTTTCTTGTTCTCCCACCACCCCCTACTCACTATCACTCTTCAAAACCCGCTTCAGCTACTATTATACTTCATCCCAATGCCTCGGGACAGCTCTTCACTTCTGTTCTGCCTTCCTAGCAGCTCTACCTCTCCACTTTGCTTGTTAACCACCCTCTCCAACTACCACCTTCCAGACTCTCATCCCCCACTGACCAGAATTGACACCCCTAAGTGAATCTCTTCCACCATGCGGATTCCAGGAACAAACCTCTACCCCAAAAATTTGGCATGAAACATTGAGAAACCAAAATTTTGAATGACAGATTTACCACATTTTGCCTGATACTTGGATCAAAACGAATTCATCAAGTAACTTTAGGCCGTAAAACTTTCCTTTGAGAATCAGAAAGTCTCACCATACAGAATGGTGAAACTAACCGCCAACAAGCTAAAAAAGAGTACATTATTTTGGTGGGATAATTTGAAGCAACTTCGCCAACGTGGGGGAAAAGACAAATCACTACTTGATCCAAAGGTGAAATGGGGGATGTAATGTCGATACCTACTAGTTCATTGTAGATTGCATGTTAGACCCCAGCTTCAAATGTGAAGAGACCACATCACCAAACGACTCCAACATCTTACAGGCAGGATTCAACCCTAGGATCTTAAAGTTAGAGTATCTTGAGAGAAAAATCAAAGCTGACTCTACCTGAGAAGAAACTGATTTAGAGTAGAGAACAGTGGAGGGAACCAAAATTTCTAAATCCATTTCAGCCAAA